TTCTAAAGCTCAGTTTCCTTAAGTAACCAAAAATCTAATAATGGCAACAAAGAAATTATTTCAATGAACTGTAAACCTTTTGTTCCTTAGACCGGTTACCAAAAAGGAAAAAAAAAAACCTTTGTAGGATAATGATTCTTCTTACAGGAAACCCATATAACTTAGAAGACAAACCTGATGAAAAAAAAATACTTGACTTAATTAGACACAGGAATAGTGTATTTAGAGTCATAAGTGAACATTATATTATAGAAGAAATAAGAGCCAATAAACTAGTACTAAGTAGGGAAATACATGAATACTAATGAGGCACAAGAAGCCTTCTGATTGCATTGAAAAGTTTAGACATAGTTAAAAATGCCAGGACTACAGTATTAAACTATACTGGAGGAAAACATCAGGCCACAACTACAGTTAGAACTGGAGGGAAAACAAAAGTTACAGGAGCTGACAAAAAGTTGAAGAAGAGTTATTATTTTAGGCCATCTCGAGAAAAAAAGTTGAAGGCAGCAAGATGTGATAAAAATTGAACTTCTGCAATACAAGTCTGTAAAGGTTTCAAAAAGAAACAAGATATAGAATTAAAAATCAAAAGCTCTTGTAATTTTATTAAGAGCAAATTAACACTTTAAGAAAAGTTGTTTTAATATGGGAAACAAAATTTAGGAAGACTATTAGAAATAATTTTAATTGTAACCATCTTAATCACATACAAAATTCCTTTCATAAACTCCCCCTCATAAATCCTATCATAACTTACATAGACCATCTACAATATGCTTGGATTTTCTGGTTTGCTCCATAATTCCCTCTTTCTTCTTTTGTTTTTGGATTTTTTTTTGAGTTGGAATTTCACTGTTACCCAGACTAGAGTGCAGTAGCTAGCTCACGGTCACCCGAGCGTCCACCCGAGCGTCGACTTGCTGGACTCAGGAGATCCTTCTGCCTCAGCCTTCCAAGTAACCGGAACCACAGGTGCGTACTACCACACCCGGCTAATTTTTGGATTTACCATAGAGACAAGGTCTCACCATGTTGCCCAGGCTGGTCTCGAACCCGTGGGCTCAGGCAATCCTCTCGCCTCGGCTTCCCGAAGTACTGCACCTGACCTTACTTCTCTCTTTCGTAAATGTTCAGTCATTTTACTTGAGGGCAAAAATTACCATACAAAATTATTTTTCATACAAAATTGTTCTTTCTTTATTGCCTTCTTTACCAAAAATACCTTAAGGTTATACCAATAACTTCCTTCACATCTCTTTCTCCTGCTTACTGGTTCACTTCTGTCTCCTTTCCTAAAAATCTTGTCTAAACCCTTAACTTGAATTAACCTTTAAATAACCTCCAAATTAGAGCAAATTTTTCTTTTAAAAAATAAAAATTTAAAATAAAAAACATCTTATTTTGACATATTATATTATGTCAAATTCAGAATTATATTAACTAGAATTCTTATTCTTAGTAATCTTAAAAATTGTGGTTAAATCCTAGAAAGCAAATTCTAAATTGTTTCAGATATTAACATTTACAGATAAGAATCATAACATAGTTTGAGAAACATGTTTGTTTCCCCATATCATAACCCTTTCTTATTTGAAATCTCCTAGACATTTAATGAGCTTCTAAAATAATTTTAAGATTTTAAATCATATAAAAGCTCACCTATAAGCATTATCTTATTTATATTTACTTAATTTATTTATTTTTTGCAGGTTGCTTAATTCCTTATGAATCCAAATTCTAGACAAAGCTAGTTATCATTTTAAGTTATTTTTCTGTTTTAACCACTTTTATAGGCTGTGCATATCAAGTGTTTCCTAAATAAGAACCTTAAGGTTAAATACATGGGCATTTTGCCAATAACTCAGAAAATTCACCTGTTTTCACTGAATCAGCACTCTTAAATCAGTCTTACTTACTTAAAAAAAAAAATCACACACACAAAGATCATTCAGTTTTAGGCTGGGTTTATAGTTTTATAACCTTCATGTCAAACCATGACAAATGTAAAACATTTAATTAGTAGACTCAGACAAAAGTATACGCTGACAATTTTACAGACATTTCTATTTTATCAATTATTATAAAACTATTTATTTACCAAAGACTATTAGAGTCACATGAACTTGGAAAGCATTTAGATCTATTTATTTATGAGTACTCATTTTCTGGTTTTTTTGTTGTTGTTGTTTGAATGGAGTCTCACTCTGTCGCCCAGACTGGAGTGCAGTGGCCGCTCCCGGCCACCGCAGCCTCGACTTGCTAGGCTCCGGCAATCTTTCCACCTCAGCCTTCCAAGCAGCCGGAATTACAGGCATGCGCTACCACGCCCGGCTGATTTTTTGATTTATTGTAGAGATGAGGTCTCGCTGCCCAGGCGGGTCTCGAACCCGCGGACTCAGGCAATCCACTCACCTCAGCCTCCCAAAGGTGCAGGATTACAGGCTGAGCCACCGAGTCCGGCAGTACTCATTTTCTTACAAGCCAATGTGGTAGCATGCTAGACATACACATAACATGTACATACAGATAAACACAATTATACATACAAATATAATCAAATCCAATAGCTTTTTTCTTGGAAATTTTAGCCATGAAATAGCAACAAACTCAGCATTTTATAAAGGATAGCTAAACCAAATTATATCTTTGACGAAACTGGAAACTGTGTACATGGCTAAACTCTGTTTTCCCCAATAGATAATCCAATAAGGACTGTGGACAAAATTAAAGTAAAACAGTTTCCATGGCAGTTTGATTGTAAAAAAACAAAACAAAAAACCTCTTTTCTTTTCTTTTCTTTTTTCCTTTTTTGTTTGTTTGTTTCAAATAAGTTTTAATATTTACATTTTAGTTAGCCCTTACTGAGCTGTATAAGATTTCCAACAACAACAGTGAGTCTTATCTCAGCACCAGTAGCATAGTAAACAGTAGATTCAAAGCAGGGAGAAAAGAAAAGAGAAACAGAGACCTTAGAAGACTTTATTAAATCCTGTAGTTGCAAGTTAGCCATTAGAGCTTTGAATTTTCCCCACTGAAACTTGCTCATCAGTTTCAAAAAGTGCAAACAAACCTTAATATCTAACCAGCTGGGGCCTAAAATCCTGGCATGCCATAAAAACTCCTTGGGTGCCGGAAGGGGATCGTTTTCCTTGCCCTTTCTTTTTGGAGCTGAGCAAGTCAGTCTCATTTACCTGAGAAAATGACAGTTCAGTTCTTCGCAGAAAGGTGCAGGCAAGTCAATCAGGATTTTTCTTTTTTCTTTCTTTTTTTTTTTAGGGGAGGGAGAAAGGTCAATGGAGAGTGCCCTTTAGAATGTACCTCAGAAACATATTTTTGGATTTCAAACTATTTCCTAGAAAGTGAAAACCAGCTCAGAGTAAACCTGGGACCATCAGTCTAAAGCAGAAAGTCATAGGCTCTGCAGAAACTTACCAGGACCACCTGAGGAGAAGCGCAAAATCCGTGGGGCTGTAATCGGCCCCTCTGGTACCTACCTCTGGGTTTGAGTGACTCCTCAGGCATTCCTAAAGTTTCCTGTGATGCCTCACGTCTTTGGGTACCAATTTATTGATGAAAATATGCCAAAACACTAAAATAATTAAGATGGTTTATTCGTGAGCCAAACTTGAAGACATAAGCCTGGATGCATCCATCCTCAGGAGGTCCTGAGAACGTGTGCCCCTGTGGCTGAATGGTGGTTTGGTTATATACACTTTAGGCAGGCAGATGTTACAAGAAACCAAACATCAATAAATGTGATATTTTCATTGGTTTGGCCCAGGAAGGAGGGACATTTCCAAGCAGGGGCTTGCATATTCTAGGCAGATTCAAAGATTTCTTGACTAGTCATTTTGCAGTTCTTATCTAAGGATTAGGAAAATCAGTAGAAGAGATGTTTTATTAAGATAAGGCAGTGGAAGACTCCTAGGTCTGTTGAGAGGAAGATGAAGTTAAGATGTTTTGCTGAGACAAAGGGAGGAAAGACTTTAGGTTGGTAGATATGTAGACGAAGTCCTATATGTGACAGATGTCATAGAACATAGACAGTTGTTTTCTAAGTCTCCCTTGGAGTCCAGTAATCCATAAGAGATGGTTTTTCAGGGCCATAAGATACTTTGATTTTTTAATTTGTTTGTTTATGTAATGTTATGCCAGAGTCAGGTTGAAAAAATAGGGTAATAAAACCCTGTTTGAAGAGTCCTTATCATACAGTGAACCAAAACCCTTGGTTAGGAATTTGGATAAGAGAACAAGTTCAGGTTTAGTCCTCACATTCATCTTAGTAAAGTCAAAACCACACTATCCAAGTCTGTGAAGAGAAAAAGAATCTCCATACAATGAAGGGTGATTAGATCTCACTGCCCTGACTATTACTACCATAATTGCTTGTCCCTTGGGCTCTTGTAGTAACCATTACATCATCCTCAAGATAATTGCTTCCCCATTCTCATCCTAGTTCAGTTGTAGACACAGATGTTTTCTCTTAACTTCCCAGAAAACCCTTGAAATAAGATAATGCAATTAATTAAGACTTTGAACTGAAGACTTCTACACAGCAAAGGGGTGACTGCACATAGCATCACAGGCTTGTAGTCCCAACTACTTGAAAGGTTGAGGATTACCTGAGCCTAGGAGTTCAAGGCTGTAGATAAATATGAACCCACCACTGAACTACAGACTCAGCAACAGAGCAAGACCCTGTTTCTAACTAAAGGAATGGAGATACAAACATAAAGAGTATCACATTTTATATTCTGAACTTCTTAACAATATTGGCACTCAGGAATCCATGGGGTTGCATCTCAATGGACTTCCAAGGAAAGGAAGCATGCTCAGCGTTTCCAGATTTCCTTGTCTCCTCTCCTTCCCAGAGGAGGAACTCCACAGCAGGATCCAGTAGTCATCTGTCTATGAAGACATTTCCTTATCAATGAATTACAGCTATATCATCCTCACCTAGATCTTTTCTGAGGGTCTGGATAAGGAAACCATGCCACTTAGGCCATACAGAAGCCCCTGGCCAACAGCAGTAGCTGCCTGAACCCAGCTCTAAGCTTAAGATTGCTGAAGATGAGGATGAAGGGATGGACAGATATGCACAGGTAGATTATAATTTGCCATGGCCAGTACCACACAGTCTCTGTGGAGAAAACACCTACAGCATAGGTGATCAGGGATACAAAGGACAGAGTATAAAGAATGAGGAAGGAGATGAGAGACACCAGAGCTCTTGTGTGAGCCTGGGTGCTGAGGTCCTGCAGGCTGTGTCCATTGTACCGCATTCTCCAGATATGACCCCTCAAAGAATTAATCAACAGTGCAATTGACATCAGAAAGACAGAGTAAGGGATTGTCAAGGTGACAAGTTTCAAGGGCAGAAAATAGTAAATTTCTATCCTTCTGCTCCATTTCTTATAGGTCATGTTACAAGAGAATTTTCTAATTAAAAATCCTCGATACATAGAGTGCTTTCCCCAAAAGGACAGCAGGCTTACAATAAAGGAGATCAGAGCAGAGCCCAGCAGGAGCCATGGCACTAACCCTGGGAGCCTCCACTTCAGCCAGAGGAAGGCGGGGTATGTGATGTTAGCAACCTTCATGCAGAACAGGACACTGAGCCAGGTGCCAAACCATAAGGTGGCTGAGTTCAGGAAGTTCCAGTATAGAGAAAAGAACTGTTGGCTGAGATCCATGAAGTCCTCGACGATGTGGACGAAGTAATAGAAGTTGTGCGCCAACCCAACCCACTGCAGGCAGAAGCGGGAGGCACCCAGGCTCATGAGGATCATGTCCAAGGGGAGCAGCCTACCATAGCGCAGCCACTCCCTGCCCAGCGCCAGCACAATGAAGCCATTTGCCAGGATCCCCAGGAGACACAACAGGGCAAAGAGCAACATGAAGAAGACTGTCAGTGCTGGATGCATTTGGACCCCCTCCCCCTGTCACCACCCACGGCCTCTCTTTTCAGTCTTTCCTGGGGGTCTCAGAAGAGTGGTCAGGCTTTGCATCTGAACCAGAGTTCACTTAGAAAAACGCTCGTCTTGAGAGGAAAGGTATGCTCTTAGCTCAGACAAGATGCAAATTTTCTCTGGGCTCAGTTACCACTAGCCCTACCAAATGCTCCTGATTTGCCTTCTCTGGTTTTGCCTGCAAGCTGCCATGGATAGCATCAATGTGGAGAATTTTTCCAGGTCTCTGTGACTGAGTTCTAGGCTTCTTGTTTTATCCTTGGGCCATGTGAACACTCCTCTTTCCGTCACATCATTCCTAAGATTTTAAGTGCATGGACAAGTACAGGGAGAGACCTAGGGAAAAAATGACAACAAGTCTATCTCAGCAGAGCTTCCCTGTGACATCTTCACTCTTACCCATGGACTGCCGTTTCTTCAAAGTCAAATGCCTTTTCTGCCTTTCCATTCAAATCTCGACTTAAATCTTTATGGACCATGAGATATAAATAATTGACAATAGCATAAAATGGTTTTGTATTTACAGTAAGATAATTCAGAAGCAGAACTGAGGACCCTGCTTCTTGCTAGGTGTTGGTTGGAGGCTGCCGTCTGGTCCTCGAGGCCTCCCACAGTCTCTACCAAGTGAGCTGTTTCAACACAGGCACTTCCTTTCTCAAGCCAGCAAACAGCCTCTAGAGGAGTCTGCTAGCCAGATGGAGTCTCATGTAACATAAAAGACTCATGGGAGTGACATCCTATCACCTTTACCATATTCTGGTGGCTAGAAGCAAATCACAGTCATCATCAGCACTCAAAGAAAAGGGGTTACACAAAAGCTCGACATCAGGGTTGGGGAACATGGGGACCACTTTACAGTCTGTCTTCACATGAAGTTTTCCTAGCTTCCAAGGCATATGTGAGCCCTATCTTCCAACACCAGCATCAAAAAGAATTCTCTATGAGACCATATTGAAGGCAAAAATAATTTCTCTTTTAGTATAGCCATCACCTCACATAGATACTATTTTCAATTTTTTTCATGTGTGGTGAAATCACTTAAGATCCACCTTATCGGGAAATTTCAAGTATACAATAAAGTGCTGTTAACTATGTTTACATGAAGGGAACCCCAAAATAACCAGAATTCTTTTTTGGAGGGCAGGCTCCTTGTAGTGCACTCAAAATTTGTTTTCGATATCAAATGATCGACCAAAGTTTTCATCTGGAAGTTTTGAAAGGATAACATCATGATTTACAGAAGAAACATTCTGAGTTGTGGCAAACAGGTGAGTGGTTTTTCCACCATGACAATGTACCTGCGCACACCATGCTGAGTGCTCAGCAGTTTTTGACTAAAAATGGCACAACCCCCATGTCCTACCCTTTATATTTACCCAATCTCTCCCCAGCGATTTTTTTGTTGTTAGTTCTCCAGGTGAACCAATTTGCTTATATGGAAGAGGAGAAACAAAACAGGCCATATATATTTATATATATATATATGTTTTTTTGTTTTGTTTTTGTTTTTGTACAGATGAAGTCTCACCATGTTGCCCAAACTGATATCGAACTCCTGGGCTCAAGTGATTCTCCTGCCTCAGCCTTCTAAAGTGCTGGGATTACAGGCATGAGCCAACATGCCTGGCCAGGATCTCCTTTTCAAGGTGAATAATATTCCATCGTGCATATGTGCCATGTTTTCTTTATCCATTCATTCACTAATGGACCTTTAGGTTGTTTCCATATTGTAGCTACTATGAATAATGCTTCAATTAACATAGGATTGCAGATATCTCTTCTAGATACTAATCTCATTTCCTGTGGTTATAAACCTAGGAGCGGTCCTGCTGAATCATAAGGTAGTTCTACTGTTGATATTTTGAGAAAACTTTACACTGTTTTCCCCAATGGCTGTACTAATTTACATTTTCACCAACAGGGTACATAATTTTATTTTCTCTGGATTCTCACCAATATAATCTCATATTTTTGATAATAGCCATTCGAACAGATGTGAGGTGATATCTCGTTGTGATTTTGACTTGCATTTCCCTGATGATTTGTGGTGTTGAGCACTTTTTCTTACACTTGTTGGCTATTGGCATGTCTTCTCTTGAGAAAAGAATTCAGGTCCTTTGCCCCTTTTAAAACCAGGATATTTGGGATTGTTTTTGAAATTGAGTTGAATAAATTTCTTATATATTTTGGATATTAAACTCTTATCAGATATGTAGTTTACAAATATTTTCTCTCAATTCTAGGTTGCCTGTATGTTCTGATTGTCTCCTTTGCTTTTTAGTCTGATGCAATCCCGTTTGTCTATTTTTGCTTTTCTTCCCTATACTTTTGGTATCATTTCCTAAAAATCATTGCCCAGACCAGTGTCAAGAAGATTTTTTCTATATTTTCGTCCAATAGTTTTATGACTTCAGGTCTTACATTTAATTCCTTATTCCATTTTAACTTAATTTAGCATATGGTGTAAGATTAGGGTCCAATATCATTCTTCTGCATGTGATATCCAGTTTTTCCAATACTATTTATTTAAAAGATTTATTTCTCCATTGCATGTTCTCAACACCTTTGTCAAAAATCAACTGACTGTAGATTTGTAGGTTTATTTCTGGGCTTTCTATCTTCCATTGCTCAATGTGTCAGTTTTTATGCCATCACTGTGCTATATGGATTACTACAGCTTTGTAATGTATTTTGAAATCCAATAGTGTAATGAATCCAGATTTTTTTTCTTTCTATCAAAATAGCTTTGGTCATTTGAGGGCTTTTGTGGCTTCGTGTGAATTTTAGGATTGTTTTTCTATTTCTGTGAAAAATCACAGTGAAATTTTGATAGGGATTGCTTGAATCTGTAGATCACTTTTGGTAGAATGGACATTTTAACAATATTTTTTTTTTCAATCCATGAACACGGGATGTCTTTTCTTTTATTTGTATCATCTTCAGTTTCTTTCATCAATGTTTTTTTATTCATCTAGCAATTTTTGGGTAGCACATTTAGAATTTTCTACATATATCATGTCATCAACAGACAATTTCACTTCATCCTTTCCTATTTGGATGCCTTTTATTTATTTCTCTTGCCTAATTGCTCTGGCTAGGACTTTCAGTACAATGCAGAATGAAAGTGGTAAGAGTGGGCACTCTTCTCTTGTTCCCGATCTTAGAGAAAAAAACCTTCAATTTTTCACCATTGATTATAATGTTAGCAGGGGTTTGTCATATGTGGCCTTTATTGTGCTGGGGCACACAGTCTCTATGCCTAATTTGCTGAAAATTTTTATCATGAAAAGGTATTGAATTTTATGAAATGTTTTTTCTGCATCTATTGACTTTTTTAAAAATTTTTCTTCTCCTCTAATTAGATAATTTCAAATGACCTGTCTTCAAGTTTGCAGATTCTTTCTACTGCTTGATTGAGTCTACCATTGAGAATCTCCACAGCATTTTTCATTTCATTCATTGTATTCTTCAGCTCCATAGTTTGTGTATGGGTCTTTTCTATGATTCCTATCACTTTGTTGAACTTCTTGCTTTATGTATTGTCTTTCTGATATTGTTGCATTGTCTGTGTTCTCTTCTAGCTCACCAAACTGCTTTCACATAATTATTTTGAATTCTTTATCAGGCATCTGGTAGATCTCCAGTTCATTGGCATAGGTCAGTTACTGAAAATGTATTGTGTTTCTCTGGTGGCGTCATGTTTCTTTAATTGTTCATGTGCCTTGTAGCCTTGTGTTAATATCTCCATATTTGAAGGAGCAGTCAATTTTTTCAGACTTCTAAAACTGATTTCAGTGGGGAAGGACCTTCACATATGGATGAGTGTGAAGTTACTGGCTGCATGGGATATACTGGCTTCAGTTCTATGGTTAAAAAGTGCTAGTGTCAGTGCCAAGGTGGTGTGGTAGGGGCAGCAGGAGGAGCACAGGGTAGGCACTCCAGCCTGTGTCATCAGCTGATGTCAGCACTGGTAAAGACGGTGAGGGTCCTTGGTGGAAAAAGCTGTGAGTGTCTGTGGTGGCAACAAGTACTGCTGGGTTCGTCAGCATTGAAAACTGCTGGGGTCTTCCTGCTTTTTTCCCCCCCATGAAGAAAGATATCACTGAGCTGTGTCAAGCAAAGGGAAATATTGAAACTGATAAAAGATTCTTATGTTTTTCCATGTGGTCACCTTAGTTTTTTATGTTCCACTGAGTTGCTGCAGAATTTCATTGTACTCTGGAGCTCTCCTATAACAATTTTCATCAGCAGGTTATTGTTAAAGTATTGTTTTGTGAAAAGACAGGTTGGAATCCCCTAATATTTGATCTAAAAATAATTTCTTGTGTAAAAATATATTCAAGTTCATCTAATTTCCAATATTTTCTGTCTAGTACTCCAAAAGTCCTCTTTCTCCATAGTTGTTTAAAAATTTTTAATGTTAGTGTATTTTTTTTGGATTATGACTTTGTCATGAAAGAGTCCACGGAGATAATTAATCCAATATTCTCAAACAAATATTGTAAAAAGTTGTTATTACCACAGCATAGATGTATAGCTGTATTTAAATTAAGAATCCACAACAAAAGGAGCAATCTCACTGAAGGATAAATAATGCTTTTTTTTTTTTGAGTTGGAGTCTTACTCTGTCACCCAGGCTGGAGGACAGTAGCATGCTCCCGGCCACCACAGCCTCGACCTGCTGGGCTCTAGCAATCCTTCCGCCTCAGCATTCCAAGTAGCCAGAACTACAGGCATGCACTACCACGCCCGGCTAATTTTTGACTTATTATAGAGAGAGGTCTTGCCAAGTTCCCCGGGCGGGTCTCGAGCCCTCAGGCTCAGGCAATCCTCTTGCCTTGGCCTACCAAAGTGCTGAGATTACAGACTGAGCCACCAAGACTGACCAAATATGCTTTTTTGTCACTCCATATCTGTTTTTATACTGTTTTCATTCATTCATTCATTCAACAAAT